GTAGTCGAAAAGCGTGATGCTTACTTTGGTGTTTGTGTGTCGTCTTGCCTACCCGACGACACATACGCGTGGGTTGTTCTCCTCCAGTCTGTCTTCCGACTGCCAACGTCCATGCAAGCCTCTTTGAAGCCTTTTCCACTTCGTCTTCACGGCTCTGGTCTACTCACCCAATCAAGCTGAATCGTCTGTTGGGCACCCGGTAGAGTCTGTTGCGGCGTGCATTTGGTTGGATCGTGGAGATTAGTGGAAAGATTAGACATTCTTTTCCCTCTCTCTGAATGACTCAACCGGCCATTGCACGTAAAGGTGACTTTGTTAAATCATAATTACCGTTCATTTCATTAAAACAGCCTATTCTATTTGCTCATTGGTCGTCTTGTGCATTCACAAGACGGAAGAGCAGCAGAGGAAAGATTGCATATTGCAGATCTACCAAATTGCCGCCTGGCTCTGCACCTTTGTTTATGAGGGATTATTATCAGCGTGTGATTTCATATGTTTACTCATATGATTCAACGGAAGAAAGGAACTGTTTATGGGGAAAGCATTTTCAACTGGTTGAGCGCCACCAGTCGCCTCTGACTCACGGGTTGTCAAGCCATAAAGGCTCTAGTTACTCCGATTACTCGATGGCTGAAATCAGTCTGGCTCTCATTTTCCCGGTTGACTTAATTTTCTACATCAACTTATTGCCGGGGTGGCGCCGTCTCAATTGCCTGTGCATACACAGTCCCGTATGCCTGTATGGCCATTTTGAGTCGCCAGATGATTGTCCTTTTCCCGACGTCATGCCGGAATGCAGCGAGAAGTCAATATGTATCCACCCGGTGGTTTAGCTTTTCATGAATGTGGACTAGAATTCGGACGGGTTCCGCAGTAAATGGGGTGCCTTGCTCCTCTTTCCTCTCGCCTCCAGTTTCAGCTGGTTCAGCAGCGGCTTTTTGAAGAAGCCGATCATTTTTGTGGAAATAATTCCAGTTGAAACATGCCTAGGCATCGTTTTTTCTTTTTCCAACAAATAGACGGAATTGGCTTTGTGTGCTCTTTCAACTTTTCTCAATCGAGTGGCTCTAAACGGTACTGGGTGTCACTTGTTGCACATTAGCGATGATGGGCACAATGAGAGGAGTGAAGGCGTGAACGCC